TAGAGAACGTAAACCAAACTGGTATAAAAGTGTAGAAACAAAAATACTTGAAAACAATAGTTTAAGGAAGATAAAAGTTTCATTAACAAACATTTTAAGCATATTCTTACCTTTATAACTACATTATAAGTAACTGACTCTAGATAATCTTTGGCTTTTTCATAATCAGAAAAATTCTAAACAAATTATTAAGAAATTTTTTTTTTTTTTTAGTTTTTTTAAAATCGATAAAGTATATATATAATACAGTGAATAATATATAAAAATTGAATAAACCTCATATTTGGCAGTAGGAATATTATGTCTTTTCATAAAATCTTTTGCAAACGTTTTGGAACCTTCCATGGTAGCAGCTTTTAGTGATGGACCAAAACATCGAATTCCAACTATTAACATATAAAATGAAAGTACATATATATATATTACTTTTTAAAAATTACTCGACTTAGAATTTTTATTATATACGATATTATACATACTTTTTCTAAAAGCTAATTCAATTCCTTCTACAAGAGGTTGCTCTGGTCCAGGTATGACCAAATTAATCTATATTTATAAAAAATAAATTTAATTCACACAATCAAATTATATAAACATTAAAAAGGTAATTTTTTGTTCAAATATTAAACTTACATTATTTAATATCGCAAACTTTGTTAAATTAACAAAGTCGTTAACCGCGATATTAATGTTAGATACTTTATCTAACCCACTTGCAGTACCTCCATTACCTAAATTTTTTTTTGAAATAACATTTAATTATAAAAAATATATATATATATATATAAGAAAAACTTATTAATTTAAAATAATTTTGAAAAACAAAAGAATATATCAAAAATACATTACTACCTGGGGATACAAATATATGTTCAACTTTAGGTGACTGGGATAGTTTCCAGGTAATAGCATGTTCACGACCGCCAGAGCCAACAACAAGAATATTAAGTTTTTCTAAATTGATTAAGTCAAATGAATAAAGTTTACTACTAAGTACTTGGAGATCGCATAAATAAACTGTACATTACCTAAAGACATTTTTTTTTTTGCAGATCAGATCTGAATCTAGCATACATTTATTGGTCGATCAAATTTTTTTGCATGCGATTTTAATGCACCCCCTGTCAGGGCACGGAAAAATATCGATTTTGAAATACCATTTGGCCAAATTTATATTACCTAGCCCGAATTATGCTTTACATTATTTAATTCTGGCCAAAATATTAATGTTACACCGCAGGAAAATTTTTAAAAATATCGATTTGCCTACAATTTTACTTAACAGGCATAGGACATATAACTTTGATTGTTGTAATTATAGATCAAATGACTTGATGTACCTCAATTTTATATGTAAATTTATGAAAAAAATTCATTTAATCTTGATTT